AGGCGGGCGGGAGGCGCGGGCCGCGGGGCGGGGGAGGACTGGGCTGCTCTTCGGGCCTCGGGACGCCACCCGAGGGCGGCCGGCGCGGCTGAGCCCGGGAGCTCGGGAGGCGGACCCCGAGGGGCGGGCGTAGGTGTGAAGGGGGGGGGGGGGGAGGAGGACCGGGGGCCGTGGAGGAGACGGTGGCTTCGCTCCTACGCGGATTGTTGAAAATAACTTGCCTTTGATAACGCCTTTGGTTAAGACACTTTCCCTGTTTTCTTTCTTTCTTTTTCTCCCCCCTTCACATTACGACACCTTTCGTCTTGCTACACAGAGACCTAAAGGGCAAGGAAATAAAGGTGAGTTTGGCTATTTGTTATCTTACTCATCACTGTTGTTGGTCCGATGTTACTTTTTAAACGGTGTGAGGGTCTTTCTGTTTGTTTTTGCCCCCCGCCCCCTTTTTTTTTTGAAATGTAGGATTGGAGAAACATTCATCGTGGCTAAGGCAGCCCAGTGCTCTCCAAAACTTCGGTAGTTCCTTGCCTGGAGGCCAGTTTTATAGAAAGCGAAGTGGTATCAGGAACAGTGTTCTGCTTAGTTGTGTATTTCAGTTCAGGAGATGGTGTTATGAATATATGTTTCAGTCTGCCTGTATTGTGTCACTTCTTCCCATAGGTAGATAAGTGGAGATTTTGTTTGTCATGTCTAGGTTACTTTGGAACATGCAACCCCATAGCATTCCATGTCACATCAGTGCAAATTGTACTGTTAATCATTGATTCTATTGAAGGCAGTTATGTGAGAGATCAAAGCTGAGCAGGCATGTTCTCGCTCTCTGTAGTCCTGTTTGCAAGGTGGGACTCAATTTGGTACGTTAGAAAGGACTGACGGCGAAGGAAACGCTTGATTATGTGATTTGCTATTTAGTTTTTAAGAAAGGAAGTACTCCGGAAAGTAAAGCGTTTTTAAAAATAAGTGTATTTTGTGTTTACTAATACGGAATAGTTCGGTCAGCTGACTGAAACATGACATTGATCATGTGACGTGAGTATGGAACAATAACTGCTTTCTTGGGACAGTGCCAATTAAATAGCATTACAGTGAATGGTATATTTATTGACAGTTTGTAATAGGACTTGAAATGAGACTCAACATGATTATGCTTCCTGTTTTTTATTTTAGGAAGCAAAGTATTACCTAGAAAATAAGATCTACAATAGTTTTTTAGATGCAATTTAATCTCTTTATGATGCTCTTTAGATTCAGGTTATTTGCTATAGCAAATTTGAAAGGCATAGGTACTGTATACACAGCTTAGTTAATTTTCTTTGATTTGTACAATTTATTTGAGAACTTATGCATTCCAGATATATGGCACTATATTAAGTAACAAATTTATTGTTTTGTTTTAAGATAGATTTTCTTGGAGTAGATACACATTTAGAAATTTTAAATTTTAGAATTTAATTTTTAGAGTACAATTTTTAATTTTAGAATTTTTTTATGTTGTGAGTATAAACCTCAGGATTTGATATAGTTGATTTATTTTAAGTGAGTTTTAAAAAACTTATTTGTAAACTTAAAAAGAATGATCTATTACTTGTTTTTGCTAGTCTTCCCATTAGGAGGTATGTAGACTTGGAGATAGGTGAAATTTGTGCCCATTATTGCCTAGCGTAAGTTATTTTATCCTAGATCTTTGGGGAGGTCGCACTTTGCAAGGCTATTTGAAATGCTAAGAGTTTTGTGTTAATCTGCTATAAAGTAAGTATGCAAGTTCTGTGAAGTACTTGTTTGACAAAACAAAATAGAACATCTATTGAATAAGCCATTACTATAAACTTGATTTATAATATAGTCATTTCACTTAAGTATGTCCTAGTGACATTTTTTATATTAAGGTATAAATTATATGTAAATAATGTATATTGATCATAAATAAATATTTTTTGTTATTAACATTGTTCTAATCTATTAGTATCACTTTTGTTAGGTGTGTTTAGATACATGTACAAAGTATTTATTTGGGTAGTTCTTTATGCCAAGAAATTTTCTTTCTCCTTTATTGTTCATTTCATAATCTCATTCATGGATAGAAGGATTGACTGGGTTACCAAGGAGATCTGTGTTCTAATACTGCTTGTGGCCACTGACTTGCCAAGTGAGCTTGAACACAGTGCATCTTTTAACCAGAATTTTCCCTCTATAAAAAATAATAATTCCAGTCATAAACCCTATAATATGTTGTGAGGATTGTTGTAATTACAGTAGTCCACTGCTCTAGCAGTTATATCTGCTGAGTTTCTTTTCACCTTCCTCACCTATTTTTTAAATATGTTTTTTTAATTAATTTTAGAGAGGAAGGGAGGGGGAGAGAGAGAGAGAGAGAGAGAGAGAGAGATAGATATCACCTCCTGTGATTTCTCCTCCTGTCCACATCCGTACCTGGGATCCAGCCGTCAGCCCGGGGGCATATGCACAGGACAACAGTCAATCAGTTGAGCCACACTGGCCAGGGCCTCAACTCATCTTATTTTTAAGATGCAGGAAGACTATTGCCTAAAATATGGCAGGAGGGAAAAATGCTACTCTCCTGAAAGTCTTGGCAGTCACTTAAGATGCCTTAAAATGGTAGATACTACAAGGGCAAAAATACACATATACATTACTTGTACTTTTATGCCTCTGCAGGGAGAATTACAAGGAGAAGGCACCCCCAAGTGAACTTATACAAGTAGTATATGTGTGAGAAAAACTACTCTGCCTTAGTTGACTGGATTTTCAAGCTAGTGAAATTGTTTTACAGTTATTCTGTTTATTTTTATGAAGCAGAAAGCAAAGTTATTTTTCCTGAATGTAGAGCCTCAGTATTCGAAGAACATGAGTATTAAACTTGAATTTAGAACTTATGAAAAATACATGTCCGTGAGGTGTCAGAGTTTTGAAAGCAGGATCCTTTTCAGTTCATATGATTTCAGAGATGCTGTGTTTCTCCTCTGAACTATTGTTAGTTGACAGCGTTGGCTTTACACCTGGCCTTAGTGTCTTTGATTTTCTGCTAATTGTTTTTCTGTATATCTTTAATGACATAAATGCACTAAAGGAACTAAAATTAAAATTTAAAGGGAATTTTATAGCAATGTCTTTGTAAGGCAAAACATGCTTTTGTCGTATAAATTCTAGGTTTATTTGTTTATAAGTTTGAATCCTTTTAAATTCATCTATTGTGTACTCTATGTTAAATATTTGAATTGTTTTTATTATTGGCCATGGTGAAGCGTAGTAGAAATTTAAAGATGATTATTTACCTATTGGTCCATAATTTAAAACTTAGTTTATATCGCTTTTTTTTATTAACAAAAAGGATTTTTGCTTGCTGGAATCAAAGTGTATTACTCCTTTTCCTGCAGGCATCACAGAGAAAGTGTCAAATCCTATGCTCCTAGTGGCCCTCAGGCCTTACTGCTTGCTTCTTCCTATTCCTTAAGTTCATAAATAGGTAGATATATGGAAAGTAATTTATCTTTTCACTTCTCTCTCTTCCGCTCCCAACATTGTTTGGTACAACTGTAATGTCAAAGACTTAGGTTAAATTTGGCTATTTTTTAGCGATTCAGAAAAGTAGTTGAAAATGCCTTGTATTTTGGCAATATTCTTTTGTAACCTCTCCCATCTCCCCTTTGGAAATGATTGCAAAGCACTTAACTGTCATTTTAGGCTTTATTATTAATCCTCAAAACATTCCTATAAGGAGATAGAGGGTATATGGTATTGTCACTGTTTTTGTAGGTGGGAAAACATGATGCACAGATCTGTTGACTTTCCTAACTTGATGTAGTCAGACCAGAGCAAAGAATCTCCTGGCTCCTAAGGCCCATGTTCTATCTTGATTTGACTCTGCTTCATAGAGCAGAGGAAACAGGCGAAGAATCATGTAAGTCATCTGTTCTTTTTTCCCTGAAGAACTTGTACAGACTATGGAACTAGCTTAGATTTCATTACTATTTAATGGCTCTCAGTCTCCAAGACATTAAATTGTGATTAAGTGATGTTCAAAAACCAAAGTCTTTAAGACAGTTGAATTTCTTAAATGTATGCTTATGAAACTCAAAGGCTGGCTTCTTATTCAGACTTTAATTGAATGCAAATTACTTGTCAGTATGCATAAAATACTTTTAATTAAACATTTCCTTTGACATACTCCTTGAGTAGTCTTTTGAAATTTCTTAGACATTTACACATCACTTATAAATGATTGTAGACTTTTTACTTATTGTGTGTGAATGTTTTGTTCTTAGTCTCAGCCTCTTACAAGAAAGGATAGAACAGAGGAAATAAGAATAGCAGTGTAATATGTATTTAGTTAAAGTTTAAGCAGGTACTTTTTACCATATTAGCAGTGTGGATTAAATTTGTGAAAATCTAACAAATACAAGAAATAGATGTGATTTGAAATGGGTAGCTGTTTTAAATATGTACTAATAGTACTGGTGTAATAGTCCAAAAGTGTAGTGAAGAATTATTTTTCAAGAGGTAATACATTATGCATAGCTACCTTTGATAAAGGAGTGGTAAAGAAAAACAGGTATGTTAGAATCTCTTGGGCTGACATGATTAGCCCACCAGAAATAGCCTAAAGTATTCACCTCTTTATTTTAATTTCTAGTAGCTGTTAACCTGTTTAAAATCTGGGGAGCACCTTTAGCTCAACCTTGGCTATTGTGCTATCTTTATTACATAGCGTTAAACCACCTCAGTGGATCAAGTCGACCATCAGGTTTCTCTTATACAGTGGGGCCTTGACTTACGAGTGTCCCAACTCACGAGTTTTTTGAGATACCAGCTGTCTCTCCACCGATTTTTTGCATTGAGTTGATAGAGTAATTTGAGTTAAGGAGCTCCTTAACGAGCTCGGTCTCGGAATGAATTAAACTCGTAAGTCAAGGCCCCACTGTAGTCTTTAAGGGGCAATGTATGTTTACTTTGAAGGCTTCACAATATAGCATTGTTTCTTTGAGTTGTCATTGCTACTTAGTTGGAGGCAAAGAACCAAGGATATCGCCTATTTTTGTTCCCATGTCATTGTCAACTCGCTATTACATTATAGATGATCTAAACTCAAATTAGGAAAAATTAAACTGGTATGCTGTTATAAAGGAACACCCCTTAAATCCATTGCCCCTGACATTAATTTATAATATTTTGTGACACTATTTTTAAGTAATAAATACCCAGATATTGAGGGTGTTTTTGTTGTTTCCAACAGATTAGTCAATATCCACCAGAAAGGTTCAACTGTTTATATCTCACTTGTGTTTCGAAAGTAGTATGGAATAGTATGTTTTCATAGACAGAGCCAGCATATCAAGTTTTAGCCTGGTAAACTTCTGTGGTCCTAAAGTAAATTGTCATCCTGATTGCATACTGTTATTGAATACTCTGATGAGGTGAGGTAGATAGGTACTATTAATATACTCCTTGAACAGAGAAGTAGAGTTAAAAAAAATTAAGTCACTAACTAGAGATCGATCACCCAACTTCTCAGTGTTGGACTTAGGATTCAAACCCAGGATCTTCTTACCTCAAGTTTGCTCAAAAGCACTCTGAGACAGTGTCAAGAGAATAACTATAGAGCATTTATGGAAATGATCTCTAGACAAATATGGCATTATAAATTGTTCTGATTGGTTTTCCTGTGTGTTGCAAGAGTAATCATGGCTATCTTTAGTGTCTGAATTTTATTTGTATTTTCAGGTGGAAGTCTTCATAATTTTTATTTAGAATTTTTCATAATTTATTCATTGTGATATTGCCTCAAGTTAATTTTAGTCACTTTTTTTTAACTGGAGACATTTTATGTAACTTTAGGTATCAAAAAAGTTCTTTATTTACCTTTATTGAACTAAGTAATAGATTTAACAAAGTTAGAGAACATTCAGAAATCTGCAACACTATTTGAAGTGGTATTTTAGATTCAAATATAGCATTAGCAAACCCTTCCAACATTTTAATTTAACTGTTTGCTTACTACAGTGTTAAAATTGGGATATTTACTTTATGGTTTTGGTAATGGAAAGTATATATATAATTTGTATTTCTCTAATCTTAGGCATATCAATATAAGATTTGTAACTTTTTGGTAGCACGTAAATATTTGTATCCAAAATTAAATTAATCTTAAGAGAGTGTTTAGGTGAAAAAAAGAAAGCTTTTTGTGACTTGATTTGAAAAATACTGAAAATGTTAGGTTGTTCTGTGATTCTCATAATGATGATTACAACACTTCTAATACAAATATATTTTTTAGTTTCAGTACAAAACGGTTCCATTCATCAAAAAGATGCTGTAAATGATGATGATTTTGAGCCATACTTAAGTAGCCAGACAAATCAGGTAAGTCTGACAGTTCCATATTTAGGGAATTAAACTTATATTAGTATAAATTGACTTTTGAAATAGATATTTAGTTGAATGAGACTAACAATAACATGAATTAATCTAGTGTACCTGAATAGCAGTTGCATGTTTATGACACAGAAGAGTTCTTTAAAAATTATAGACAGCTGAAACTAGATTACGAAATATAAAGATTTGAACATGGAACATTACTAGTATATGTTGTAGTGTGTTTTTTTGAAATGTTGAAAGAATTTAATCTTTTAATGTCACTGTCATATCTTTGTAGCCAAAGCAAATTACAAGGTTTAATTAGCTAGAAATTTATGGGAGAGGACTACTTTGTGCCTGAAATTTTTGGTTTAATGTAGTATTTTCTTCTTCATAAGACATTCCTATTTGAATTTTACTGATAAAGTTTTAACTTAACCTGGTAATGGAGGAAATAGATAAATAAAGATAAATAAAATAATTAAGACTTTATAAACACTTGCTTCTATATTATAGGCATGGAAAATTTCAACAAATCAAATAATTGTTAGCTTTTGAGATTCTTGTGTGTTTGAATTATTCACAAATGTGAATTTATATATAGGAATAATTTAGATGTAAACATTAAAAATCAGATATTTGGTCTCTATACCATTTCTGTCTGCACCCATTTGTTATTAAAAATATTGCTACTAGAAATAAATTTTAAAAATAAACTTTAATTATTAATCATTTTCTTTAGGGAGAACATTCTGGAATGAAGTTGCTTTTGTTTTGCTTAAAAAAAAAGATGTATGAAAAAAAATGTATCTTGAAATCTTAACCTAGTTTTTTAAAACTATGAAAGAACAAGGAACCAAATGTTATTACACAACTTTATAGTTTGAAAGCAAATTTGAACAAAAAGTAGTTCCCATTTTGTGGATGTAGAATTATTTTTAGGACTGGAGAGCCATGGTTATGTTTAATCTCTTAGTAATTTCTTTAACCACTCTCTTCTGTCTGTTGATCTGCAGTTCTAGCATATGTTGGGAGAGAATAAGTAAATGAGAGAGAAGAAAAATGGGTGATAAAAATCAATGAAAGTTTGGCTACTCTTAAGAATGAAAAATTTCATTTCATATTTATGTAATCTATTTTATAATCTCAATAAATTTTACTTTCCACCTAAATGTTGTGAAAGAATATATAATTGGAAAATAGGGGAAGATTATTTGTTGTACAATTGTAGTGCAAGTTTTAAAAGAAACATAATATTCTATTTGGGGCCATACAGTGACCTCAATTAATATCGCTTATGGCAGTGTTTTCCAACCTTTTCGAGAAATTCTGATAATGAGGTATAGTAGATATTATCCCCACAATGTTTTTACGATCAGATAAGTTTGAGAAGTTTATTTGGTCTAAATAATTAAATTGTGGGTTTTTTGCTACTTGATTTTATACTTGATTAAAATATAAAATGAATTTCTAATATAAGGATATATTATGCAGATCCACTGTCTTCATTGTTCAGAGTCTGTTTTCAATAAATTTTAATGGATTTTAAATGTTTGAAAATTGCTACCATAAGAATGCTCGCTTTACTTGGTAACAGATATTTTATAATTCATTTGTCACAGGGGCTTAGAAGATTGGTTATTTGGCATTCCACAGAGGTGCTTCAGGTCTGCCTAGGGGAGATTGGGGGAGGGTACCCTTGATCCCACCTTTGTGGCAACCAGAGCTCTGCTTTGCTTTTTATCTGTTCTTTTATATTGGAATTTTTCATAAAATTTCACTTGTAAAAAAATTTTAAAGTGTTGGAAAATTAATTTTTAAGACTATAAATGCATTTACCTTAATCCAATTTTTAAATTGTATCATAAAAGCTTCCTTGTTAATATTGGCAAAACAACTATAAAAGTCTTGTTTTTTAATGTGATGTTTACATGGAAGGTCTTATGCTTTATATTAATTAAATCATTTTAATTCATGTTATTTGAATCAATATAGTCATGTGCTATTTCAAGAGAGGTTTTAAAGTTTAATACCAGTAAGACTGTATTTTACTTCCCTCTTGCCAATATTAGTGAATAGGTTTTCAGCAGTTATCTTTCTGTAATACTAAATAATTATGTGTAGTCAAGGTACATATTTACTTTTTTTCTTTTAGTATGTTTTATTGATTTTAGAGGGGGAGAGAGAGGGAGAATGGGAGAGGGAGATAAAAATATCAGTGTGAGCGAAACATCAATAAGCTGCCTCCTGCATGCTCCCTCCTGGGGATTGAGCCCCAAACCTGGGCATGTGCCCTGACCAGGAATCAAACCAGTGACCTTTTGATACATGGGATGACGCTCAACCAATAGAGCCACACTGTCTAAGGCCATATTTACCTTTTAAAGAGCACTATAATTATTGAATATTGAATACTGGGTCTATTGAAGAGAAAAATGGAAAATTATCTGAAATATGAAAGTAAGTTGTAAGAATTTAACTTAAAATTACTTAATTGAAATTTTAAAAACTTACAAAAATTGACCTTTTAGGACAGATGAGTGAATACTGGATTTATTGGTGAAATATATCAAGTAATTATTTGCAGATTTAAAGTTCTGCAAGTATTTGTAGGTCCTTGCACTGACCTACCTGAAGTAATTATTTAATTTTTAAATTTTCAATTATAAATATGCAATATGACTTTAAAATTAAATCCCATCATTTGATTTTAATATTATAAATAAGAAAAATGAATCATTTGTCTGGAAAGGTGTTTAATATTTTTGGTTATTTTAAATTGTTTTATATACTTAGATCTAATTCACATCAAACCCAGGAATACATTACACCAGGCTATTCGTCTTCTGTGGCAGCATATTTCTTCTATTTTCTAGTGTTCATTTTATTAGGGAATAATTTTTATATTAATTTACAAGTAAATGTCTGTCCTTCTGGTTTTAAAATTAGTTCTCTGTTTTATGGATATATATTAGGCTTAGCCAAATTGGAGGTTTCTGTTTGGCAAGGAAAGTAGGGTTTTTCAAAATGCAGGCTTTAACCAGTAGATTGGGAGATAAGACCAACTGAAGCTTTATGAAATGTGTATTTTTGTTGCTTCTGTTAATTCTATTTTGTGTGTATTGTCTTATTTTTTAATGATTTTAAAAAAATTCTTATGCTTAAAAGTTTATTTTGCTTAATTATAAAGTGGATGTGCATGTAACATTTATGTAAAATATTTGCTGTGTAGAGTTTTTTTTTGGTTTTGTTTATTCTCTTAAAAGATCGCTATATTTAAGTAAAAATGAAGATCAGCCAAAAAATAGTTCTCTATAATTCCTCAGAATAATTGGACAATTATGTTGGTCAGAAAATTCATGTTTAATTGGTACTATTAAACGTGCCTTATAAATTGGAAGAGTAAGTTGGAAAAATGAAGTTTGAATTTGTCTGTTTGTATATATGGGGAAATAAATTCCTAGTCATATTTATCAGGAAAGAGATATAGAGAACTAAGAGAATAATATAATTATCTTTGCCTGTTTGAATGATTTCCTAACTGGTAATTCTGTATTGCCACTCAGGAGTCTTAAAGTTGAAGTTTGTGCCATTGACATATTAAAGAATTTACCTCAACTTCACAACACATCCCTCCTGCCTCATCTTTGGTCAGCTTTCTCCATCTCACTTACTCAAGGAAATAGGGCTTATTATTATTTTCTGAAAATGTAAATATTTTCTTTCATAATCTCAATGTGTACGATTTGCATACACCCACACACAGAATCCTGTGTCTGTTGCTTCTGAAGTCTTTTCTGATTCCCCCAGTTACTTGCACCCTTCCTTCTCTTTGTGCTAGAGTGTTTGTTTTCTTTTGTTTGTACTTCCATTATAGTACTTATCAAATTGTAGGGTAAATATGTCTTCCCCTAGACCTGTGGAGTCCTTTAGGTCAGAAACCATGTTTTTCATCTTGTCTCCAGTGACTGACACTTTAATCAGTTACATAGTAGGCATTTATTAAATACTTACTGAATGTGAATTAGGTTATCTTCTAGAATTAAGGAATGAAATATTATGGTTGAAATGTCAAGTTAATATGACAGAGTACATTTTCTTATGACATTTTTATTATTAATCCGCATAAATTATACTTTTTTAAAAGTACAATAATATTTTTTAAATATTTGAGGAAAATACAGGTAAACATTAAAAGTAGACTAACCTTCACTTTTTATTAATTCAGAAGTGAGTTCAGGAGATTGAAATACCTCAGGTTCTTAAGGGAAAGCAATTTTGTTTATCTCTGTGCTTACGTGCTGACATTGGTGGATAATTCCCCAAGTCTTTTTTATTGAACTTCTGAAACATTGTACAGTGTTCTCCTTTGGAAATTTGGGTGTTTATGAAGCAAAAATGAATATTAAGTTACCTTAACTAAAACAAAACACACACACACAAAATAAAAGACTCAGTTATAATTGAGTTGTATTAAAATGTCTTTAGGTTAGAACAGTGATCATAAACTTTTTCTTACTGTTCAGGTTTTCTTTGAGATAATAGAAAAACAACTGGCCTGTGGGCTAAAGGATAATAATTATAAATGATTTCAAAATTCTAACGAAGAATTTTTAATCTTCCATATTTTAGTTTTCAAATTAAAAAATCTAAAGGTAAAGGCTTAATCTATATTTTAATATAGCACTATGCAATTAAAGATTTAGAAAAATCTTTACAGTTGATTAGAGTAGCAGGTATCATCCCCATTTTACCAATGAAGTAACAAGGTTAGAGAAATTAATGATCAGTGAAATCACTGACATAGAAAGTGGAAGAGTATAGAATTGAGCCCAATCCTTGCCTACTACATCACATCTTGACTTTATATCTTCTTTTGTTTTTTGTTTTTGTTTTTGACTTTTTAAAATTCTCACCCGGGTATATGTTTTTATTAATTTGAGAGAGAGAAACATCAGAGTGAGAGAGAAACATCAATCAGTTGTGTTTCCCAAGCACACCCAACC